TTTTAATTTGCCTGAACAAATAGTCTTTTACTGAAGAAGGTTCATCACACACCAAGAGATGTTCCTCCTTTGATTGTGGCCCATGGGACAGAATGAAGTATCTGCTGTGCCTGCACTCATCAAGGTGCTGTCTGATGGGACAGATAAAGATCTTAAGGTAATGGTCTTATTAAAAAGTTAAGATACTTTCTTGGTTGTTCCTGATGAACTGACAGATTTTAATGATAGACTGAGATCTGTGAAATCTTTCCATCTGAACAATAGTTTAAAAAAATGTGATTCCTCCCTCCAGGTCATATTCCACCGCTCTGAAAAATTAATCCAGGCAGAAGAGGAATGCACTGGGTCCATTCTGAGAGAACCCTCTCTTATTAACACCTTCTGAACAGGTTCTAGACATGGCAGATATTCTCCCAACAAACTCCTGCAAGAGACCACATGTGAAACTTTGTGTACACCAAAGCATGAAAAACTCCCACTGTTTCTCTTTGGAGAAGAGAAATAGAACCAGACTTAAGAGTTAGCAGTTCTCGATAAGTTGCTTAGTTACGTGGCCCAAACCTAATGAAGCAATCTACAGATTTCCAAATCCCACAACAAGCAGGTGATCTACTTATGTCCAGCAAGTCTGGTGCATTCCAGACTTGTTGGATTTAGTGCACACAGACAGCTCTAACACGTGCAGTGAGGCCCACATAACTGGGATGCAAAGCATTTGCTGCATACTTACAATCACACATGTACAGAAGCTCTGCTTCATCAGATGTGTATCAGGTTGTATCTGATTGTCTGGGGACGTTTTTTGGTTGGTTTGTTTGCTGTCTTTGTTTTGGCTTGTTGGTGTTTCTTTTCCTGAGGAAAGTTCATGTTTTCTGATAAATTCATAACTCTCTGAAGAAAATGTGTGGCATATGGGGCAAAGCACTACTCCCAGACTAGGCATAAGGCCTGGACATATCATGTTCAGATACAGTACAGCAGTACAAAGCAAGATAGAGACACACTCTTAGAAGCAATTATTTAAAATAGAATAAAATTATAATGTATTTCACATGCATTTCTGAAGAAGTCATGCTCAATCTAAATAAGCCATATGATGCTATGAATTTATAAATGACACACACATCAATAAACTAAACACTTAAGTAGTAATTTAAAAGACAGAATGCATTTCCAAATTTCAGAAATAAATCCAGTAGGTTCTATTATATTACACATTAACAATATAAATATTTTAATATACTGTAAAATGTATGTGTTCAATGACTCATGTTAGGTTTTGTGCTGTGGACAACTGTCTTAACAACAACGTTTATGTGGTCATAACTAAGTTTTTAATTTAACACCCCATTAAGATGAGGTGAGAGGATTCACACCTCTGTCAGCACTATTGTTTCAAGTCCATCTCCATCTATGTGCAGAGTCAACAAGACACCATCCACTCGATTTACAGTGCTGACACCTTGGAAGAGTGAGCTGCTGCTTCTCTTCCCCCATGCACATACCATGAAAACGCAGGTGTGCAAGTCAGTGGATTTGTTAATGGCACGTTAACACTCACTAACATGCTGTAAATACTGAATGAATACAACAAGGCTGTTTTTGTTAGTTGGACACATTTCTGAAGAGTGAAATTCAGCTTTCTACTACATAGTTAAGTAAAGAAAGATATCTTAAGTTAAAGACAAAAAAGTTTTAAGATCAGAAAGTCCAAAATTTTACCAGAGGGAAATACATATGCACATAAAATGAAATTCCAGAGGTGAATTGATACTCATGGATTTCTAGTTGTTTCACTCTGCCATTACACCTTTCCAGTCTGAAGATAGAAGCAAGCATACAATATACCACAGAGCAGCCTCTGAAACTTCAGGGCAAAGCTAAAGCTTCCACATATCCTCAGGTTCTTCACAAAGAAGGGAGTTCTGTGAGACACAGAACAACATCAGCTCACACAGCAATCCACAAGAGCTGTGGATACCCAGCACCTGTCCCAGACGGGCCTCCAGGCAGGGCTCCTCCACACTGGACAAAACCCTACTCCATTTCTGACACTTGCAGGGAGAGAAACTACCATCATTTGTTGCTTGCAGCCAAAGGATTGGAAAGGAGAATAAAAAGCTGCACATCCACCATGCAAAGTGAAATCCAGCCCAGCACAGGCTTCTGGGGCATCAGTGGGTGCAGAGCCCAGCAGTTCCACTCTCACAGGTATTTTCCAGTGTCCATTCCGGGGCAAAGCCCCAAAACTTCCTACCCTCAAAATACATCAGCACCCGTGTGGAATGGTGAGGCCTACCCCTCCCTGCTCCTGCAGCTCCATTCACCTGCTCCACAATGGACCATGAGAATTTTGTCTTCTGCATAACATGAGGAATTTGTCTCCAGTACTAATTTTGCCCCTTTCCAATGCAGAAACTTCAGAGCCTTAGCAGTGCACAGGTGATGGCTTTATTCAGAAAAATGGTAGATTTTGCTTCTTTTCCTGGATCTCAGAAAATCTACATTGTTGAGTAGCTTGTTACTGAATCAGGCACTTATTGTATGTACAGATTACATAAACAAGAAGGTCAATTTTGTTTCAAATATATATGAATATGGTTCTGGGACTGAATTAACTACTGATTGAAAAGTTATACATTTTCAGCTAGCTAATCATATTTTATTTCACTGCATACAGACAGAAGTGCAATGAAATTAGCTGTTTGTTTGTACATTCTGGAAAACGTTTTAACTTCAAGACTATAGAAAAAAGACAGGAAATAATTAATGTATGTTCAGGTGAGATTGCCAGGGTAAAAGTAAACAGGTGATAGCACAGCTCAACAGACACTGAGTTGATTTCTCCTGACTTTTGACCATGATTTTCCTTTCCTCAAAATGTGCTTACCCTTCCTCCATCATGAATTTACAGTTTTTAAGCATAGCTTAGTGCATCACGGCATAAAAACAATCCCAGAAAGTCACTGTTGCATTTGGTTACCCAGTACTGAAATACAAAATGCTTTGTCAAGATTTTCTCACACCAACTGATAAGAATACACATAGTAACTGTACTACTTTTATGTACAGAAATTATTTTACATAATTTTGGTCAAAATACACATTACCATATCCTATTTGACTATGACCATTGAATTCTTCTGAAGACAGGTGCTTAGTATGTGTACTGAAAACATCCCCTTAATCCAGAACTGTTTTTAAAGACAGCCATAGCTGCAAAAGGGTATCCAGGATTATGAAACATTTGTCTGTGGGAGGGGGGAGGATAGTGGTACTTCCACAATCCCTTATTGTTCTATCATATCTAATCCTCACTACTAGTGCCCATAATGATTCCCAACTGGTAGATGAACTACTTTGAACATCCCTGAAGCAGAATTGCTACCCACTAATGTATCAGCTAAATGTTAGAAGACTCCTAACTCCCCCATCTGTGTTTTACCTCCCCAGAGGGTAAATGCATCGAACAGTGATTCCCTTGCCTGGTACACACTTTCTAAACCTTACTGGCAATGGTTGTGATTTCCAGTCCAAGCAGCCTTGCAGTCAAAATCACCAGTTTTATATGCTGCAGGGAACTAAACACCTACCTTATTAAAATACTGCCCTCAAAACACACTGCAGTTATGTATTGCCACTGTAATTGTTGCCAGTGTAGTGCTGATAATATTATGGATTACAGCTAATATCAGGCTATTGAATTAGTATGTGACTACCTTTTATAGCTAACTTCAGGAAATTTATTGGAATTAGGATTTTTTTTTTAATTTTTTTAGCAGCAAGGTCTGTAAAGAGTAACTGAAGACACACAGAACACTGTGGATATACTGGGCTAAAGGGAACAAACTGAAAAAAAAAAGCAAAACAAAGCAACCAACTCCACCCCCCAAAAATCCCCCAAAACATTAAAAAACATTTTGTTCTCTTCAGAACTAGACACATAGCCTGCACTCATATAAATACAGCTTATTCTCAACTGGTTATGCAGAAGTTGATAGGGCTAAGTGTACAGCTAAAGGCTGTTGGATATGGCTTGAAGGACAAATATCATATATTTCTGCTTTTCATTTCATTTGCAGTTTATCCACATCCTTCTACTTTTTCTCATTACAGACGACTTGCCTTTATTTTTCTTCTGTGTCCACTTGTCTAATACTAGGAGAGTGTTATCACCAGCTGCACCCTGATGTTTATTAATAATACCTCAATAAAATAATAATAAAGTCTAATTGAGAATTGCTTTTATCAACTTTGCTATATTGCCATCTATCTGAAGTTCTCAACAGCAAAGATTTAAATGTTTCATTTTATTTTTAACTTTCCCTTTTCCACATTTCAGTAATGTCAGGCAAAGAGGTATGGTTTTACTATCTGAACAAATCATGGTGTAGAATAATTTATGACTTAGGCTTGGGCTTTCAGAAAAGCTATTTCAAATCTTCGCTTTGATTTGGTTGTATCAAAACTACTCAAAATAACAGCAGTGGTTTCTTGAAACTAGAATATGTTAACTGTTCCTCAATATTTTTGTACTAATGGGTTATATTTATTTGCTAGGAAACTTTGTACAGCTCCCTGATCTTAATATACTGAAGAGGCCCAACCAGCTGCCACTGTTACACTGGGGTTTTAAATTTCTTGCCCCAAAAAAACTGAAAAAAAAAAAAATCCACAAATACAAGACAGAGAGGCAAACATTTTGTTTAATCATCCATATATTAGTTCAAAAGTTTGAAGAGACTCCAGTAACTTGGCACAAGTTTGTGTCTGCAGTTGATGTTCACATAAAGATACCACACTTCCCAATCACTATTCTTAAATGAAAGAGAGGCAGACAAGAGGCTGTGGGAGAATGCAAGGGAACTGTTTCTATTTCTAGTCTTGAGGAGAGATTCACTTGACTGAGGAATTTCAGAATGGGGACCCTAAAGCATAACAGGATGATCCATTTATGGCTTAATATATGGTGCAAAGTATGCTAATATAGCAAATCTTACCTTAGCAGCTTAACTGCATACTTGTTTTAAGGACTGTCAGCCAGCTTAGAAAATACCCAGCGAAAGGATGCAGCTCAGGTTGGCACTGACAGATTGCCAAA